AAATATCGACGTAATTCTAATATAGACCCACTAGTCGACAGAGTCCTGAGTGCAAAACGTGCGGATGGCTTGATTCGTCTGTGGAAAAGCAAAGAAGAGATATTCATATAAAGAACAAAAAAACAAAAGTCTCAACGTACTATGGGGAGAGTATATCGTATAACATATCTTTCATCACAAAATCTTCATTGATCACTTTTTTGTCAAAAAATTCACGCCAGGCCTTTTCCCATTCGGCTAGAGTGTCTTTTGGCTAATTGACAAACAATTAGAATTAGAGCTCCAACATAATCGAATTCGACATACAGTATTTAGAATATACAGTACCTTGAAAAAACTTTGGATCGATTTTTCCCATTTCTCAGATATCTCGTAATTGGGATACGTATCCAAGATAAAATTCCCCCACATTTTTTTGGGAATAATCTCTGCTAATCGTGAGAGGGTCTTAAGTCCATAATATCACTCTTACATAAACTGATAATAAGAACAATTAGTAAAATATGTTCGTATATTATGGATTTTCGCTTTACTTACTCAAATTCATTTTCACACTCATCACAGAATTTTTCGAAAGTTTCATCCAAATCTATGCCATTTACTTTCAATGAGTTACTTCTCACTTCTCCAATCATAGAATTGACCGCCTTTCGCAAATAATCGTCCGCATCATCGGTCATATTATCATCCGCTAAAATATCATAAGGGTAGCCTTGATTTTCTGGTACCGTAATAAAGGAGAAACTTAAATGGTGAAATTTCGTGATATAAACTTTATGGTAACTGATAACTTGAGCCATACTTACCGTTTTCATCAAAATATTCTTGCGATCTTCGTTCCGCCACTCTAGATTTCTCTTTCTATTATAATAAAGTTCGATATGAAACCGTGGATATGTTGAGTATATCAAAGTTATTTGATACCTACCCCATTGACCAAGTCGATTGCATTAGAATTCATTGTTGATAAAGCTATTCGATCCACTTTCTCCCAAAATCTGTCATTGGTTTTACCCTTCTGTATATATGCATTTATGAGATAATTAGGTTGAATTTCTCACTTTGGAGTAACAGGTAGGAAGAAATTTTACAAAATGCCATGGACTCTCTTCCACACACCCAGTGTTACCCGTAG